CGTATGAAACAACGGAAAAAATGACACGAAACAGACAAAACATGATTTTCCACACACCATCTTTATTCGTTTTTATAAAAATGTCACACATGCAAAAAAAAAAAAAAAAAAAAAAAAATTGTAGCATTTTAGAGTTATAGTATTCAAATTTGAGAATTTAAACCAAAGGTAATACGGTGTGTGATCACCTGCCATATATCGGGCAATATCTAACAACTTCGTCATGCGTTCTGTTGCTACCGTTTATCCATGTATTACCTGCAAAAAATAGTGACTCAAAATATTTTATATAATACTAGTACGACGTCAGTGTAATATTTGAAGCCAAACTCGTATTACAAAATTAATTATTCATTATGCGAACTATAATTACATCCCGTGACGTCGGTGCATTTATTTCAAGTCATTTGTTGTTTGTTGGCTTTTTTGTTTTGTTTTAATATAGGGTGTAAATAAAACTGCATGAATCGCAATGAGTAGTCTTGCTCTGCTTCTAGCAATGTTTTCAAATTTAAGTTGTCCACGGTAGTAGATGCGTATGATGGGGGTGTTCAAAACATTGCACAGTAGCCAATTTCCGAGTCTGTATGATGTCACAACAACCCGTCCAGATCGGTATCACCCTCGCACTATAGTTGTGCGTGCATTTAATTGTTACAAAAAAAAAAAAATTCACGCTAAGTAATGTTGAAACATGATCACCGGAATATGATAAAATTTTGTCAGTGTTAGTTACATCAACAGAAAATAACAAGCCTGAGGGAAACATTCGCGCGAGAATGAATCCCACCCCGATCTCGTAATTTCCGTGACAAATATGTAATTATTTATGATATCATCGAAAACTGAAAACACCATCGACTATATTACTCAGCTGTGACAGGAGTGATGTGTTCTAAATACAACGTTTAAAATGTAATAATTGAACGGAACTCGGTTCACTGTACATCGTCGTTGTATTAGGTGGTATATATATGACAACAAATTAAAGCACCTGTGCGCCGTGACCTGTGCCCGTGACCTTCACAAACAAAAAAACTGATTATCATGGCAAATAAGCCAGGAAATTAAATTAACAAAAAAATATCGATTCCGAATCGCTGGTTAGTGATAGTAACTACGTTAACTGCATCGGTAGAATTGGATAATGGGTGCGTCCTTGTCCATGGGAATGTGAGAGCAACTCTGGCCTTTTCTCATCATGTCATGTAGAGAGTAAATTAGCGTAAAACAATTACTTTGAAGCAGCATAATGTCCCGTTTAATGATTACAATTCCCGCCTCGCCAAATCACCCATCTGAGATTGCGTTGCCACTCGTCGTACGTTATACGTGGTTTTGTACAATATTATGTAACCTGAAACTGATTTTTCTGAACAGCGGATAATGGAGGCTGTATTGGTTGACGAAATGGAACGCCGAGTGTCCATTAGTAGGGCAGGGTAACGTGGAAATCCGACACGAGTGAATGAAATTAATATTGATGGCAGCTTCATACTATTAAAAAAAAGTACATTACCGCGGTTGTGTTGTGGACACAAACGCCATAGGCTGAGTCGTGTTAATGAAAACTCCATAATCGGAGAAATGACATTAATCCTACTCGAGTGATCATGTCTTGACAATAAATTCACTTCATATATTTGTAGCTATAATTTCTTCCCACCAGGGAGCTCTTGCAAACGAGTATATTATAAAATACGCAATATTTGGTAATCGATGACGTAAGTAACTATTCACTGACACAAAAGATATGTACAGTACATATGTGTAATATCTATTTGATATTTTTTATTTATTTATCTGCTCAAGCCCAATGTAGGGAACTTTGAGTATGTTTTCATAAGCATGTTTAAATAATTTTGTTTGATATAACATCTTGATAACAACTGTAAGGTACGGTTAACCGTAAAATAAATACGGATAGGTGATTTAACGACGCATGCGCATTATTGTTTTTCAGTTACCCAACGAACGTATACATGATGATTGTCGTCAAAATGGATTCATTTTATAAATGATCATATATTTAGTATTTTATCAATTTATACTACAATCACAAACAAAACACAAAACAAAAATAAAAATGTTAAGGTGGAAAAGTCTATTTATAATTATTGAGAACAAAAAAATAAAGGTAATATGGCTTGAAAATATTTAAAGTGTAGAGAAATTGAGTTATTAGTGGACGTCATTCTTTTGTGTGAGTAAATATTATGCATTTCATTTCATTTCAACAGAGATTGTAAGACAACATTATGTATCGTGATATAATATCAATTATTCAATTATTTGCGGCATTGTGCACAAATACCAGATATATATATCTTCGGTATAAAAACAAATATAAAAGGTTCCAAAATGGCTATCTGAAACATTTCATGAGAAAAAACAAAACAAATTTGTTAGGCCCAATCGCCTTATAATGGTTCAGAGTGCAAATTAATGAAATTTGTACTATTACTTAATTTGTGTATAGACTCATAAATTCATGATGCGTTCAGTACGCTGGCGATTGCCGTTGAGGGCAGTGATAATACACAGTATGACGGAGTGAATTACACAAAGCGTATATACTGCAGCATATAGCGCAAAGCGGTATACGAAGTGTTGTTTTTGTATTTAAATGATGCTCGATAGACAGTGTGTGTTGCTTGTAAATTATACAACAGGATAATTATAATTCCATAATTGTAGAAGTGTGTTCACTATATTCACAAGATGTCCTGGCGTTATTTTATGCTGTACACAATTTCGATACAAAAAGTATGGTCGCTGAACTGCGTTTCGCACACAAGTGAAATACAAGTTTTGAGCCATTGACATTGATTCTTATTGGTAATACGGTTTATCCATATCTCAAAGTTTCGTCCAGGTACATATTGTGAAACAATGATACGTAGTTATAAAATTGGTATAATAATACGGATAATGCGTTAAAACGAAAGTCTAGTAGTACACAGGATCATTTCAAAAGGACACAGTTTTTTTATTTCTCTATTTAAAATAGGTAAAATAAAATAAAATGATGTTTTTTTTATTTAAATCAACAAGGTGAGAACTTTGAAACATTAGAAGAATATTTTGCTATTATTTAATAAATCGACTACCTTCGAAAGCCCTAATAATATCCAATTTCACGCTAGTATGCACGTTTCTTTACCCATTTTTTCAAAACGTCACACGATGTATACTCGTAAAAATCTAATGTTTACGTATGCTCGGAATTATTCCAGCCTTCTACATTTACAACTTTCGCATAATAAGAACCCGGATAACGACCAGTTTTACTAGTATAAATCACTATCATGCTCGTTAGGCCGTGACTCGGCGGGGTAAACTTCTGCTGTTTTGTGTTTGTTTAGTATTGTAGTTCTACGTATTGCTGACTTGCCATTGATTCGAGATCATCACGTCATCGAGTTCGACCCAATTACGTATGATTTTTTTGTAAATTATTTGGCATGTAGCCGGCGCAAAGTAAACAAGTTCACTGTTCACCGCCCTCACGGTTTGAAACCATCAGCCTATTGTTTTTCTAGAGCATAAAACAAAATATACAATTTCTGTTCGGTATTCAGCATGTTAGTTAAGTAAGTTGTTTATTTCAAGCTAGAGACGTATATCCAATTTGTTCCATACGCTGTGCAGCTGAATTACGTTCGGCGTCTTTTTATCCATCAACACTCCGAACATACACGAGTGATTGTTTTGAAACCGATGGGAATGTACACTGGTAAATATCAGGTTCAACCTGGCCTTTGTCCATACTTTTAACTAAAGTATCGAAAAGCTCAATTTGAGAAGGGACGCACATAAAACACGCATTGCTAAGAGCTAGGTTAAAGAATAATCCTTTTCAAATTAAGATGTTAAAATGTTCAGTGTCGGGTGACTGGTATCAAGTTTGTGTTTTCTGGTGAAAAAGTCGGCTACATCCGGGTATTATAAAAAGGTGCGGTTTTACGAATTCGCAACAGCCAACGATCTGTCAAAATCTTGCTTTCGAAAGAAATAAGGACCTGTTGTTTGCATGCCAATAGTAGTATACCAGAGGGGATCATGGTGCCACGTCTCGGGAATTATGCAAGGTCAGCAAGTCACAAATGCTGATGGGCCGACTTGGTATCGGTAGAAACTTACGTTTCAACCCGATCCGAAAAAAGGGCGTTCCGAACAAAGGAAGAGAAAATGTCGTGTAGCTAACGTGTTGTCTTTGGCAACTTAGCGGAGATTTTATTGTCGACGCCGGTGTCTTTGGAAACGAGATCCCCGTATCCAGTATATCAGGTTAAATCAGAACAATGCATTGTATGGTTTACTCATAATAGCTACGGTCGTTAAAGATACGAGTCAGACGATCGTTCTATTCATAAAAATGACTACAGGTTTGGAAAAGACGTCTGTCAGGTGTACGTAACAGACTTCTATCGGTTTTCATGGATTTCAATAAACCTACTGTCGTGTCGGTTACGCTGGTTGCGGCAACAGTTTCAAGTTTCTCGTTTCGCACGCAGAGTAGGTAGGACAACATGGCGGAGAAGTACACGATGGAACAACAAGGTAAGTCTTCAAATATAAGCCGTCACGGTGCCGTTTAATCGTTTATTTTTGGAATTCAAAACGATCTGATACGCTGCTGAAGCATCCATGGAAATGTTTGTTTTCTTCGTGGTCTCTGAGAAGTGTTTGCAAAGATCGTCATTTGTTGACAACGTCTTGGGTACCACTCTCATAGTGTCTTGATCTCCGAACTTTAGTCGTACGCCTTAGGGCATATCTGAATTGACGACATCGCATCATTGTCTAACGATAGAATTATAATGTAATGACCATTTCTGATATCTGTTGATTTCCACAAAAAGAAAGCCGGGCGGAGTTTAGTCTAACCCTTTCAAGAGTGGAGGGGGGGGGGTAATTTGGACGTCATTTGGAGCGCGGAGATCGATTATTATAATGGCAAAGTGATCCCTGTTATGGGGCGGCAATAAAGCATGGCAAGACTGTAGAAATTAAATAATATAACCCCTTTAACACTGTCCCAGTTGCACACCGAAGAAGTCCACGAAAGAGGTGTGCAACGATGGCGTGAAATGATATACACACGGCCTCTTGATCGGGCTGTTTCAAAACTTCAAGAACAAAAAAAAAATGACGCAACATCTGGGGCATTGACGACTACACACCTGTAAATGCATTAGAAGAAATCGGTGTTATTTACAGAAGAAGCGAGACTGAGATAACTAATAGTAACTAAATGTTAGACTTTTCCGATGTTCACGTACAAACTCAGACTATAATATAGTTTGGTTGGTCATGGTCCGTGAGTGCAGAACATAAGCTATCGTAATCTCAAAGTAGACGTCACGCACTATCTAATTAACTAACTACATTTATTTATTGCCCTGAGGCAAATGCATACGCCGGTGACTGTCATGCAGGCTGACAAATTGACTCGCGATACAAAGGTCGTCTTCGGTTCACGAGAAATAGCTTTTGTTTGTGATTGACTAGCGAGTGAATTTGCTTGTGAAATCGGACAGTGTGTGCGTCGTCAGTAAATTTATTAAAATTCTTATGAACCTTTAGAATTCAAATTGAATGTGAAGGTCTTGGGCAGAAAGCGGAATAGTTTCGTTGTTGATGAATTCAAATTTGTTAGTTCAAGTTGCAAAAAGCGCTGAACACTCAATGCTTCTAACGCGCATGACTTGTACATCGTTGTGTGGCGACTGGGGTCTACGTATTCATTAGTGGTACATAGCAAGCATTGGTCGTTTCCATACGTGTTACGTGTTGTATAGATTACCATGGTAACACTGTGCACTTTGTGTAGACCTTATCAGGCAACGTTCAAAGGTGTGTCAGGATTCAACTCCCGAGGTGGCACGAACGCGGGTCGGATGAATAAATCCGTTCAGCGAGACTAATGAAGCAGAAAACAACAAATACGATATCATACAACTTTATAAAAAAACACGAATAACTACGCGTGCGTTACCATCTCACGACAAAAAATAATAAAAACGGTTAAATTCGTGTCATACTTTAAGGTGTGCAACCAGATCACGTATTTGAATTTATAGCTAACCTATTGAAAAAACGAAAAAGGGAAAAAAAACACCGCAATTGTGTGTTACATTTCAAACGTATGTGCAGAAGTTATAAACCCGTGTCTCAACTCTGAAATATAAAAAGCAAGTAATGACGTCACGGTGATAAACAGTATACGGTAACATAGCAATTTGAAATTGCAATCATTAACTGGCGAAGGAGAACTGCCAGACTGGGCCGACTCCTGTTATATGCGGCACCCGGAGTTCGGTTTTTCTATTATTGGTTTTCTGTTAATTTGTTGTCTTCTAATTTCTCTGGTTCAAAGCTCTTATAGAAATAGACAAACAACATTCGAGTACACGTAACATTCGATCTTGTTTTTAAAAAAATACGTAAAATGGTATACCCCCATTAAACACATTTAGTCGTATCGGACATGGATTTTAGAGAATATTTATAAATCTATTATATTCGCTTCATTGTACCGTGAATTCCAATCATAACTGTCTTTGTTGAAAAACGAAATCCCCACCCCGCCCAATTCTAAGCTCTTCACCATTCATTTGAGTACGTGTCCTTTCGGAGACTATGAATTATCAAATTAAATAGCTAAACGTGGGAAGCTTTGACTATATGTTCTATATGCTTATATTCACACTGTTGTGACATGAGTTTACGTCAAATTAAAATTAATTTGAGCTGAAACAAACAAATATTGGTACGTACTATTAATTCCATGCGCATGTACATACCAATAATCAGAAATAGTAATTCGTCAATATTTTGAGTACGACAAATCAATATTGTTTTACTTCGCGGTACATTAATAATTGGATTGGCATTTTTAACACTAAAAAAATACTCGAAATGTATTTGATGTATTTTAACTGCCGCTGCAGGCGCTACAGTATTGCCTATTTTCTATATTCACCTGATGTCGGAAAAGGTCAAATCACAAATATAACTCAATCGTATTTATGGATTGTATATCTATAATTTAATGTGGAGACGTCTGCAAATATTACATACTAGTAGCTACGGCTCGTAAAAAATTAGTGGTTACCGCCTTTACTAGCGTCGAATTGCGCATGCGCCGTGGTTGAAACTCAAGTTGAAACGGAACAGATCGTTCCGCAGTCTGACACATGCAAGCAAACCACGCACATTACAAATATAGTGATGCAACTAATAGGAAAGGCTGTCAGATCGGATTTAATAACGCAATCGTGAGTTGGCCGTCGTCGTATAGCTCCAACACAGCTAGCGACGTAATCCATAGTACATGTCGGATACGCTGTACTGACCCCATTATGTTGACGAATATACTAACTGACCAAAGCTTTAATATTTTATCAGTTAAGTACATTCTAGAACACAAAGCTGTATAAATGTCGCGAGTATGTGCGGGTTGGAGCGTTATTCCCCGACCGACTGACAGTCAAGACGAGGGGATTTCCTCGCCGGGTGATGACACGGAGAGGTTGGTGGAATTTTGTAATGGTGATGGGAAATTTGGTAAATATGACGTAAATACATAATTTATTTGTAGCGTCGGTTTCTTGCCCGTCTACTTTAGATGCTCCGGCCCAATGCCGCGATAACACATACTCACATTGTCCAGACTGATACAGTATATAATATTATATTGACGGTGGTCGGCTGTCACGAAGTGAAGTAATCGGTGCTGACGGGTTATCGTATGTGTTCCCGAATTCTCGCGGCAATATGGTTCCCGCTGATTTTACCATGGATCGTGTGTTTGCGTCGATTCAACAGTCTCACCACGGAGCAAAAATATGCTCAGCTTTTTGTATTCCATTGCGCGCAGTTAATGAGCTATATTATACCAGAGACATTGGACAAAAGATGATTTGTGAGATGTCCTAATCCGTGTGTGAAAATGCTGGTGTAAAGATGTGGGTTGGTGTTGTACGTGATTTGGAATCGCAGCCGCCGTGAGTGCTACAATGCTTTCCGGCGGCGAGCGAACATAGTAACCTAACTCTATCATGTACAACTGACCGCGTTGTCTTCAATATTTTCAACTGGTATGCTTTGGTCCAGTCACTTGTATTTATCTAAAAATATGAATTAGGGAGTATTAACATATGTATCGATCGAATGTCAATCCTATCAATCAACGACCATAACAATATTGCTTGGATATGTTATTGCGTAAATTCAAATTTATTGTGCCCGGTAAATCAAATTATGTTTTGTCTTAAAGGGCGATGGGTGTCACACAGCGTCGTATTCGATACGGGTTCCATGGCGATGCCTACAGCAATTGTAAAATACATTGTGTGTGTACGCGTAATTCGAAAACGCGCTGCGCGACGACCTTGCACTTGAAGGTTATTTTAAGTTTGCGTGTATAATGCGTAAAGGGACAAGAAGTGTAGGATTACTGTGACCGTGACGTAACTGACTTTGTTCTTAAATACTGGAATATTGAATTATACCTGTTAGACTGTTTCGTCTTGAAAATACGCGACAGAAATATCCTTGGTTTTAACTAGTGCGAAATTGATCAGTTTATTTAAAAAGGCGGTAGTCGTCACGCAGCGTGTGTGTGCAAGTGCGCAAAACGTAGCTAAACTCATATTTCAGTGTATTTGTTTGCAGATTTCGACTCGGTTTTACGACGCGTCTCGTCAGAGTTGAAGCGGCGAGAATGGCACCAACTGGCCATCATTCTAGGGCTCAAAGAGTACCACGTGGAGGACATTACAAAACTATACCCATGTGATCTATGTAGGCAGAAATATGAAATGCTGTCGCTATGGAAACACTTATATCCAGATCAAGCCAATATGGAGGTCCTCATTCAAGCTCTCGACAAGTTGGCAGAGGATATTAAAAATGGTTGCTTGGATACGGATGAAGAGAAGCTGGCCAAATTACAAAAACAGAGAATGGGTAGGTGGTTTATGTGATGTTTTTTCATGAATCTTGTCGAGATTGTTTTGCCGAGCCATTACCATCAATGTTAGAATTGACAATTGAGTCGAGATTCTTGTTAGCTTCGATCAAAATGTACTGATTAACGCCGCGTGGATATTCGTATAATACAAAAACTTCGGTGTGTGACGTTTATAGGGTGTTAATTTACCTGCAGTGTTATAACTACTGCAAAAAACGGCGCAGTTACTTATCGGTGTACAGGTTGCTGGTGTGTTTCTTGACCCACATGTGCTAATATTAGTAAAATAGTATACATTTGTCGTGTTGAAAATTAATTTAATATGAGTGAATAAAAATAAAAATAAAATATGCGAAACATATAAAAGGCGCAGCTCAGTAGGGACGCCGTAAACGTCTGGTATTAAAGTTAGCCGTTGGTTGCCAATCTAAGTGTCATGGCAATTATGTCTATCAAAAAGATTCATATGCCAAGTTAACTGTACGTTGTTCAGTATTGCTGTAAATGCACGTTAAAAGAACATCAGAACGGTTTCTACATTCCGTTCTTCATCAGTACATTTCCTTATGTTTGTTTTCCATGTCTATTTGGTTCAAATGGAATTGCGAAATTATGGAAAAGTGCCTGAAAATGTGCAAGAGTTCGCATCAAAGTGTTGGTGGTAAATAAAACGTCTTTGTATTACGTACGGTCTGGTGACATAACAATCTGCATATTTCTGTTGTACGTACTCAGGATTTATCTACCATTGAATTTCCAATCTTAAAATTCGATTTTACCGGATTTAATCTAGAAAACGATCTAGGCCTTTAATTCATAATGTCAATTATAAAATATATTACAGCTTACACTGTCCTTTTTTTTCAAAAAATAAATATAACTTAATTGAATTAACAAACAAAAAACTCAAGCACGTCAATCTGTAAACGTCAAATTCAATACATGTGTTATTATTGCTTCGTGCTACGATAGCTCTACTTTACACACAAGCATATATCGACGTTTCACGGGAGAGCGGCAAATACAATAAATGAAACAAAACCACTTAATTACTGCTACAAATATTTCTAGTTGGTTCTGCCATGCCAAATACCACGACAGCGAAAACAACACTTTTGAGAAATGACTCATCATAAACAGTTCATTGTGTCAACGACGGAAGCGAGTGACGTCATATGTAATGTTTATATCGTTGTTTACTATTTACAGGTTTAGTGACGAGCCAAAGGCCGCGCAGGACACTAAAAGATCCCTCAGATCCGTTATCCAATCTTGTACACGTAAGAGGATCTGCAGTATCAATGCAAATGAGAGACATACCCATACGGAAAGGTGAGTAAAAAAAAAAAAAAGTTTTTATATTATGTTCTTGTTTATATATGATTTTTTCACTATTGTTTCACAAATTGTGAATCTAATACAAATGAATTATTAAAAATAGATATAGAATTGCTGTAATTTAATTTAATTTATTTTTTTATGTTTCAATCGGCAGTATCGTATACACCTCGATCGTGGAGATGCCGGACGGCACGTCAACCTATAAGAAAGAAATTGAACCGATGGCACAGAGCCACAACAGGGAAACCAGCTCGAACAGGTACATATACTGGGGAATATTATAGCTTCAATGAGTCATTTGTTTTTCCATTCGTGTTAGTGTCTCGGTTACACAGAACTTGGCAAAATACACGATATATCGTACTCGATGTGGGTCCCATACGATGCACTCATACAACGCGTTGTGTTGTTTGTTTGTTTACATGACATTCAATCGTCATGCTGCGTGACGATCGTGACGCTGCATCACGCATAGCCATTACCCTTGCAAGGGGCAGCTAACACATCAAAGATGGCTGGTTATCCTGGCAAACTTTTTGAACGATATCATAACGGTCAAGAACCTGATGTTTTTGTTGCGTTTAGTACAATAACTATTGGAGTTCATTCCCATATTTTGACGCCATAATAGATAAACTAGACAGTTATGTACAAAAAATACACTGATTTGTAGGAATGTATTTATGAATGTGGTAATATCAGATATTGCACACAGATTTGATTCTTTAATCAAAGGGTGATGGTTTGCTAACATTGTGTTAAAGCGGGGGCGTCGTCACCTGCGCATGCGTCAGATGACCATAGCGTGTCATTGTTTACAAATAGTTTACACATGACCCTTTGCGTTTTAGCGTGTGTTGTTATCGTCGCTTGGGACTCAATTCCGCGCGTGCGCAGGTGACGACCCCCCTGCTTTGAATGAATGCATTTGGTATTCAAGTGCTGAGACGAAAAACTGACGTACTATAATACGAGGTGAATTTGACCACAGAA